CCAGAGGACTGAGTCAACATGATGATAGGGAACACACGGCAGGAAGCTTCAGTAATTCTGATGCAAGTCAGATGGCTTTCTTGGCAAGGGCTGGCTCATTGGAATGTGGTCCATTAGGCAGGGGAGTCGGCAGTAGTCACAGCATCATAATCGCTTCAGGGCTGGAAAGTCCAGAGGGATGGTCTCTCTAATTGTCTCATGTCACAGATGAGGGAGCTGATGAGGATTTTATGTGGCCCTCTGCAGGAGCTTCACATGACCATACCCTTGCCCCATATCAAGCTTTGCCAGCTCCTGTGCCTCTCCCCTGGAAGAGCATCCCCACCCCACAGCCTCCTAACCCAATTGACCTTCTCACCTCATCCCTTTCCTCCAGTTGAGTGCTTAGGGCAATACTTGAGAAGTCTTACTGTTGCCCAGAAACAGCAGCTTACATTACCTGACCTACATGTCAAGAGTCCAAGAAGTTGCAAGAATGATGATGATGAATGGTGTTATGGATTGAATTATGTCCCACAAAATATGTGTTGGAATCCTAACTTCTATACCTGTGGATGTAATCCCACTGGGGAATCAGGTTTACTTTGTTATGTTAATGAGGTCATGACAGTAGGGTGTGTCTTAAACCTAATCGCTTTTGAGATATAAAAGGAGCAGATTAGGCATAGAGACCAGTAAGCATCAGTGGGAGAAAGACAGATGCCACGTGGAGATCTCCAAGGAACCGAGGAACTCTGGCGCTAAATAAGCTAAGACAACGATTTTCCCCCCAGAGAGGACAGGGATAGCCTTCCCCTAGAGCCAGTGCCCTGAATTTGGACTTCTAGACTCCTAAATTGTGACAAAATAAATTTCTGTTCATTAAAGCCACCCATTTGTGGTATTTCTGTTACAGCAGCACAAACAAACTAAGAAAAACACCAATAACGATAATATAAACAGTAGCAGTTCCCACTTTTTGAGCTGGGCAATATGCCAAATACTTTATATACATTCTTTTGTTGAATACTCGCTGCTAGCCTGAAGAAGTAGATATTATTTTTCCCATCACACCAATGAAGAAACCGAGGTTCAAATGTCAATAGATGATCCCAAATCATAAAGTTATTAAGTGGTAGAGGGAAGGTCTGGACCCATATCTGCATGACTGCAAAACCCACCTCTCCTTTCGTTAAAAAAAAAAAAAAAAAAATCAAATCCATTGCCGTCGAGTCAATTCCAACTCATAGAGACCCTATAGGACAGAGCAGAATTGCCCCATAGAGTTTCCAAGGAGTGCCAGGTGGATTCGAACTGCCAACCTTTTGGTTAGCAGCCATAGCACTTAACCACTACACCACCAGGGTTTCCTTCCTTTTGTTAGGTGCTGCTTATTACCCACCTTCTCCTCTCAGGAGGGCCAAGGAGGTCAGATGTGCAGGAGGCTTGGCCTCAATGGACTGAAGAACGTTTCTACCTTAGTTCTCTGAGACTGGTTCCAGGCCAGTTCCCTTTGCCCCCCACCTTCTTGGAGGTCCCAGGTATTTTTTATAGACTGGGGGTTGGGAAGGAGAAGGGTCTAGCAAGTAAAATGTCTTCTTAAATTCTAAAACTATTAGTCTCTTATTCAGTGGGGAGAGAAAATCTAGGGGCAGAGTAGTCTAGAGAGTAGGTCTGGAGGAAAATCAAGTCAACCATGTTTACATCCTATTCTTTTTCTAACCCATTTAAATGGGTTTCTAATTGCATAAAACAACTAATTTTGTTCATTAGGGTTCAATTAAATTCATCTGAAACTCGGGATAATGGCATTGTTGTTGAACAACCATATTAAAGATGAAACATAATCTCTCTTGACTCCATTTCCTTTTACAAAATAAAGTTCAGCTACTAATGAGCTTGCAACACAAGGCTTCTTCTATAAATGGCAACAAAGGGTGCAAATTTATGAACAGCCATCTTTTTATTATAATTATCAACAGCCATTTCCTTTGTTCCCCAAATACACAGAAAAGATTATGGGGCCCTTTTTCTCAACATGGCCTTTGATTTTTTTGCGGGGGGCTGGGGGGTGGGGTGGGGAGGAACGTGAAATAAATAGCTTCATAATCACATCACAAGGCAGTCACACACTGGGTGGCCTCACAGCCTCCAGGCAGGGCATCGACAGTCTAAGCAGACATCTCTGTTTCCAGGCTTATAGACAGCCCCTCCACGGGAGTCCAAATGTCTCTGTTTCAGGTCAAACAAGAAATGTTTCTCCTGCCCAGGTGGCCCATACCTGTGCCTTTTTGTAGCCTAGGGGAAGAAACTGTTCTTTAGAAGGTCAGGGAAGCCAGAAGCAGCCTGTCTAGGTAGCATGAGTTGGCCTTGGAAGACAGAGGAGCCTTCCCACCTTCTGGTGACACCTGGTTCTTTCCATGGGCAGGCAATGCAATGACCCAATGACACCATTTCCCTCCTCAGTTGGTAGAGTCTCTGCCCCTGGTCAGCTGTACAACACTCTCAAGCTTGGTGATGCTAATCCAGTGCTGGCAGCTAAGACAAATGTCATCAGTCCCTAGCCCAGGAAGAGCATAAGTCTGGCTGAGTAGCATTCAACCAAGTGAGTACTGACATTCAACCAGCTCACAGAGGGTCTGTTATGTGCAGGGGTTCTGGAGATAGATAAGGTCCTGTGTATTAGGCAGTAAGTAACCAAAAAAACCAAACCCATTGCTGCCAAGTCGATTCTGACTTATAGTGTTCCCATATGCTACAGAGTAGAACTGCTCCATAGGATTTTCTTGGCTGCAATGTTTACAGAAGCAGATCACCAGGTCTTTCTTCTGTGGCACTGCTGGGTGGGTTTGAACCACCAACCTTTAGGTTAGTAGTTGAGCACAAACCGTTTGCACCACCCCGGGATCGTAGGGAGTGAGTAAAAACCAAACCCACTGCCACTGAGTCGATTCTGACTCACAGCGACCCCATAGGGTTTTCCAAGGCTGTAAATCTCTACGGAAGCAGATTGCCACATTTTTCTCCTGAGGAACCACTGGTGGTTTTGAACCGTCGACCTTTTCGGTTAGCAGTAGGTCGCTTTAACCACTGCACCACCAGGGGGTGAGTAGTTGGGTGTAAAATAAGCATACATGTTCCTGAGTTTATGTTAATGGGGAAGGAACAACTCAGAAAAGGAGGATAAGAATGGTTGCACAACTCGAAGACTGTAATGTCAGTGAACTGTACATGTAGAAATGGTGGAATTGGTGTTTATTTTACTGTGCATATTCTCAACAACAACAAAGAAGAATACTGGTCCTCATCCCTTATCTGAAACCTTTGAGGCTAGATGTCTTTTATGTGAATTCACTATTTTTAGAATTTTATAAAAGTAATTTCATATATACTGCCAAAAGAATGAACAAATCAGTCTTTGAAGAAATAGAACCAAAATGTTCCTTAGAAATGAGGATGGCAAGACTTTTTCTTGCTTACTTTGGACACATCATCAGGAAAGACCGATCACTGGAAAAGGACCACTAGATACATCTATTAGTCCCATCCTGTCCAGAGCAAAGGAGAATGAAGAAAACCAAAGACACGTGGAAAATGTTAGTCCAACAGACTAATGGACCCCAAGTACCACAGCCTCCACCAGCCTGATCCCAGAACAACTAGATGGTGCTTGACTACCACCACTGACTGTTCTGACACAGATCACAATAGAGGGAGAAAAATGTAGAACAAAATTCAAATTCACAAAAAAAGTCCAGACTTGCTGGTCTGACACAGACTGGAGGAACCCTGATACTATGGTCCCCAGATACCCTTTTTACTCAGAACTAAAGCCACTCCGGAAGTTCACCCTTCAGCCAAAGATTACATAGGCCTATAAAACAATTAACACACGTGAGGAACATGCTTCTTAGCTCAATCATGTAAAAGAGACTAAATGGGCAACATCTGCCCAAAAGCAAAGAAGTCAGGAAGGGACAGGAAAATGGAATGAATGGTAGAGAAGGGGAGAGTGTTGACACATCAAGGGGATTGCAACCAATGTTACAAAATTGTTGAATGACAAACTAATTTGCTCTGTAAACTTTCACCTAAAGCACACAAAAAAGAATAAAATCAGCCAATTTCAGCAAAAAAAGTTTCACTGAAAATAAGTCAGTCACAAAAGGACAAAGTATTATGATCCTTTTTATATGAAGTAGGCAAATGTATAGAGATCAAAGCTTATTAGTAGCTACCAGGGGTGGTGAGGGGAAGCGGAGGTCATTGCTTGCGGGGGTACTGAGTTCTGTTAATGGTGGTGGGAGAATTGGCAAAAGGATAGTGGTAATAGTTGCACAACATGATGGACATGATCAATATCACTGAATTGTATATGTGAAAATGGTTGAACTGGCAAATGTTTTGTTATACATATTTTTACCACAATTTAAAAAAAAAGTTTCACTGAGTCATTATGAACACTCTTGAAACAAATGAAAAAAACAGAAAATCTCAGCAAAGAAACAGAAGATATGAAAAAGAATCTAATGGCAATTATGAAACTAAAAAATATAATAAGGAAAATTTTTTAAAAAACCGTCACTCAATGGGCTCAATAGTAGATTGCAGATGACAGAGGACAGAATCAGTGAGCTTAAAGATAGATGAAAAATATCGACTTTTAAAAAATGAACAGATCCTCAGGGACTTGTGGGACAACAAAAGATCTAATATTCATGTTACTGAAGTCCCAGAAGGAAAGAAGAGTGCGGGGTTAAAAAATAGATTCAAAGAGATAATGACTGAAAAATTCTCAAATTTGGTGAAAGACATAAACCTACATTCGTGTAGTTGAGCAAACGCCAATCAGGATAAATCAAACAACAAATAAATCAAAATCAAGACACATCATCATCAAACTTTTGAAAATTAAAGACAAAGGGAAAACCTTGAAAGCAGCTAGAGACAAACTCATTACCCACAAGGGAACACAAATTTGAATGACAGCAGATTTCTCACCTGAAACCACTTCAAATGCACTCACCACGATCACTATTGGCCTCCTAATCACCGGTTACATGATCTTCCTTGGACTCTGCAGTATTTTATCTGTGGACCACTCCTCCTTTTTGACATACTTCTCCCTTGACATCCGTGACATCACAGCATCCTGTTTTCCCACCTCTCTGCCCTTCTCATCCCCCACTCATAGGCTCCTCTTTTTCTACCTGTTAAACATGAGCTATTTAACAACTTAGCTGTTCCCTAGGGTTCTCATCTCTGCCCACTGCTCTTATGTGTCGTATTCTCTCTCAGTGATCTCCCCTCCACCCCCTGGTTTGCTCTTTTCAAAGTCATGGTAATTTAGATATAATTTACATATAGTAAAATCCACTCATTTTAGTGTGTAGCTCTATAAATCTTCCCACATTTTGATCACAATCAAGAACAAAAAGTTCCCTCATAGCTGTTTGTTGCCAATCGCCTCCCCCTACCTCCAGCCTCTGGCAATTGCTGCTCTGTTTTCTGTCCCTACAGTTTTACCTTTTCTCCAATGTACCTCTCATGTATTTTTCTAACATCTTCCAATAAAGGTATTGCCTTCCACATTTATACCTCTAGTGCTAACCTTTCTTTGGAGCTTCAGGACTCACCTATCCAATGTCTTTGGTCAGATTTAAGATCCTCCTTTTCTTCTTAGGTTGAGAAAGTTGTGTAATTCTAGGCAAGTTCCTTAACCTCTCTGAGCCTTAGTGTCTCTTTCTTAGTTACCTAAACCAAAAAAGAAAAAAAGCCACAGCCATCGCCGTCAATTCGATTCTGACTCGTGGCAACCCTTAGAGATGCTGTAACAAACCCACCACCAAATGGATGCCTTTAAAGAACAGAAATGTATTGTCTCAGTTTTGGAGGCTAGATACCCAAATCAGGGCACTGGCTCGGGGCGGGGTGGGGTCTCTCCTTGTTGGTAGCTCTGGGCATTCCTTGGCTTGTAGGTGGCTCCTCATATGGCATCTTTCTTTCACCTGGGTGTGTCTATTCTGTGTGTCTGTTTGCTCTTTTTATAAGACACCACTGAGGTGGGATTAGGTGTAGGACCCATCCTACTCCAGGATGACCCGTTAACACAATAAAAGAAAACCCCTATTTCCAAACAGGGTCATAGTTCCAGGTGCAGGAGTTAGGGCTTCAATATAACTTTTGGGTAGACACAATTCAATCCATAACACTCTCCCTCCATAAAAGAGAGAAATAACACTTATTTTGCCAACTTCTTGAAGGAGGTTAATAAGAGAAATGCCACTAAGGAGCCTACAAGGCTGGGTGTGCACAACAGATGCTCAGTGCACGGTTACTGTCATTAACACTAGCTGCCCTTGAGGGTCCTTTTACTCAAGGTAGCAGCACCTTCTGAGGACAGAGCTCTGGGTTTCCGTGTGGCCTCCCATTTGCTGGAGAGTTCCGGCTTCCTCAGAGGCTGGAAATCGTTCCTGTCACGGGTCAGGGCTGTATGCCTCCTCAGCATGCTGGGTGAGAGAACACGGAACTCTCCCGATGACCGCACATCGCAACTCTCAGGAGGGTTCACGGCACAACGGAGTCTTGCAACTAACCAATTACTTCATATAATGAAAATGCCGCAGGATCTCTGGTTAGCTTCACGTTTATGGGCCTGATTTATATCTGAAATGAAGACTGTTCCATTTCAGATCCCTTTTACTTACAGGCAGAAATAAAGCCCAATGTTATCTTGCAGCAGATAGTACTCCAACGATTATTCATAAGACCTCCAGGACATTTGTAGTAACATACACACCAGCGGCTTGCCCCGTATCTGACAGGCACAGGGACAAGCAACAGACCCATTCATTTCTATTAAAAAGCCAGTTGCCGTCGATTCCTACTGATGGCAACTCCAGATGTGTCAGAGTAGAACTGTCATCCATCAGAGTAGAACTGTGATCCATAGTTTTCAGTTTTGGGAGGTAGATCACCAGTCCTTTCTTCCGAGGCACCTCTGGGTGGACTCGAACCTCCAACCTTCCAGTTAGCAGCTGAGTGTGTGAACCATGTGCACCACCCAGGGACACCATTCTTGTATTGTGTCTTCACATCTTCATATACCATAACCCAGCAGCAACTCATGTTTTCAGAAATCATGTGGTACTTTAGTGGATGCTTCAACTTCTCTGTAGTTGAACTAAAAAAATAGGTCCCTTAATAAAAGCAGACTGACAAGGATCACATTTTCCTCATTTCAGGCACACATAAAAGAACGAAAATGTCATGATATGTGCCAAGCAGTTTTTACTAATCCTCTAACCTCCAGAGAAAGGGTTTGCAATTAGAATTACATTAGAATTGTCACAGCTAAGCAATGTTTCTTTTAAATACTAGAAGGACTTCAACTGATTTCATGGTACAAATACACACGAAAAACACAGTATAATGCAAAGAAATTAAAATTATAATTGAGGTGTCATACAATAAGTGAAAAACTTTCACGGTGTGTCTGGTCATAGAACTAATAACCCCTTTATGCAGATACAATGAAACAAAGGTGCCTTTCTCAATAGCCAGAGTGGGGTTGTGGCTGCTATTTTGCTCAGGCCACCAACAGCTGTACTTGGTTATAGACACATTAGTTAAGGGAGACCATAAAAAACAGCTGTATTTGAGATCACATAGGAGGCTGCACATTTTCTCCCTGTGGCAGCCAATCAGAAGTCTTGCTGACAAGTAGACTTGTACAAATGAATGATCCTATTTAGATTAATTCCTCTTAATGCCTTACGCAGGCCTACTTTCCTGGCATCTTGTGGAGTGAGCAGGTCAATTCCATTCAAAACCTGGAGATAGAAAATTTGAGCTTGATCCCTTGCTAAAATAGATGACTGTACTGGTGGAGAATGTGAAATGCTCATTCTGTGTATAAATAAGGCAGGTGGGCTCTTCCCCAGCTCAGGGTTCAGCCATGAGGCACTCCGGGAAATGAGCCCACAACCAGCTGTCTAGAGAATGGAGTTTAACTGTGGCTCTGTCATTACTGTTTCAGTCTTTCACTTCCTCCCCAGTAATGGGATGACACACCCACATGCTTAACCCTGGCCCTGGGGTTTGCCACAGCACTTGCTTTGGCCCATGAGATGCCAACCAACATGGCCCCAAGGACGGAAATGTGCACGTGAGGCTGGGCTTGCTTGCTCTTTGGCTTCTGCCACTGACATGAGAAGAACATACCTGGGCTAGCCCACTGAGCCCAGCAAAGGGCAGGAGGTACGTGGAGCAGGTGTGTGAGCTAGCCCAACCCAAGGTCAGCACAGCCACCCAGCCAATGACAGACTCATGAGCAAAATAAATGCTTCTTGTGTCTGGACACTGAGGTTCTCTGGTTGTTTGTTATGCACAGTCACCAGAAGCAGTCACTAAAGGCTGTGGGACCTTGGGTGATTCCTTCTCCTGCCTGTCCTCCTGAGGGAAGGGATTCGAAGAGGATCTCAACAGTCCCTTCAAATGATAAGTGGGACGTAGAAAGGACATCATAGTTGGTAAAGTGGAGGGTCAGCAAAAACAAGGGAAGCCCTTCCTGAGATGGACTGACACCACAGCCACAACAATGGATCAAACATCCCAACGATCATGAAGATGGCACCAGATCGGGTAATGTTTTGTCCTGCTGTACATAAGGTCGCTATGAGTCGGAGCCTACTCGACACCAACTAACGGCAGAAACCTGGAGTGTAAAGTGCTCCAGAATCCAGGTTCTCAGATTTATTCAAGGCCTAGGAGGAGGAGCTGAGGAAGACGCTTCAGTTGGCCCTGAAGGCAGGCAAAGTACTCCTACCAAGTGACACTAACAGAAACGTCTGGTGGTGTGCCCACAGTCAGGGAAAAACTCAGCAGCAGGAGGAGGGTCTGAAAATCTGGGCCTAGTCTGGCTTGAAGGAGCCCTGGTGGCACAATGGTTAAGCATTCAGCTGCTAACTGAAAGGTTGGCAGTTCGAACCCACCCAGCGGCTCCATGCCTGGCAATCTGCTTCCATAAAGATTACAATCTAGAAAACCCTATGGGGCAGCTCTACTCTGTCACAACCTAGAAAACCCTATGGGGCAGCTCTACTCTGTCACATGGGGTCGCCATGAGTAGAAAATCAACTCAACGGCACCTAACAACAACAGTCTGTCTTGATAGCAGCTCCCCAATGAAACTTGTTTTTCTATAGGTTTACATCCAGACAAATGACCAAGGCTGAAGGCAGGACTGGAGAAAATGGAAATCTTTATTTTTAAACACAAGTACATTTTCAGGCTGTTTTAAAAAGGAAAAATCATATTACATTAGTTTAAAACTATCCATCAAAGCATATTTATGTAAACTCTAATTTTACAAACACATAATGAAAGAAACATATCTTTTATAAATATGTATTCAGGATATGCATTATGAAAAAAAAAGTGTTTAAAAATAACAGCCCCATATCTCCCTCTTTAAATATATAAAATCCCCATACAATTCATAAGAATTCTTCCTCAAGAGCCGAACATTTCTCAAAGGCCAGCAACTCGGTTCTCGTCAGACAGTCAAAAGGAATAGGGATATAAAAAAATGTAAAAGTTCTGTACAAGGGAAATACATATAGCACATGGGTAAATCTCATTACCATACATGCCATTTGTGGTTTAAAAATGTTTTATAAAAACTGCCTTTTTTTTTTTTTAAACAAGTGAGGGTCCTTCCCTGACTATGGAAAATATATAAATTACCACCCTCCCACCTGGGTAATGCCGCTCCTGTTAGCTGGAGTAGGGGGAGCAAAGTCTCCATGTGTTTCCCTTACTGGGGGGGCCCTAAACCACACAGGGCACCCCCTTCTCACTGGCAGTGGCTTTTATTTTCTGGTAGGTTATTCACTATTATTTCTTAGAAAAATTCTTTGGGATCACAGAAGACAGTTGCATGTAAGTGAACGCTTGCCTGGAGGATGTGTTGGGGTCATTGTATCCGATCAATACTATGTACATTTAATGACTTTGGTGACCAAAATCTGGAAGCCTGGATTACCACCATCAGGACAGCCTGTCACCCAACCCTCGTGAAACACAGCGCAGCCCCCAGGCCGTCCCCCTACCTCTCCTCCTCCAGCTCGTAGCCTGCAGCAATGCATGTGGACTATTGTCTCTTCTGGCACTTCTTCTGGAAAGAGCTCTTCAGGAAAGTGCGGTATACGGGGTCATCCACGTATTCGTTCTTAAATCTGGAGCTCAGCACTCTTTGTCTCTTTTTCTCCCCTTGGATTATGTCCGCTCCATAAAATGTGTCCTCAAATCGCATATCAGAGGCTGTAGACTAAAAACAGCTGGTGGTTACACTGCAGAAGGGCACGGCATTTGACCATTGTGAGAGTGAACAGAGGCCTGGTCCAGTTGGCTGGGACGGGCCACAGGCTCACCCTGGATGCTTCAGACTCTCCCTGCCACCCTCGCCCCCCATCTCCTTGGACTTGTGGCTCTGTTTACCCCACTTTCTCTGGGATCCTCAACCTCTGGAGGGGCCCCCAAACAAAACCAGGTTTAAAGTCTTTTCTAAGACTCTCTCACTCTCTATCTCCCCTATGGCTCCTGTCCAACCAAGTTTTTGACAAATTAGTCAACAGTAATCTCTAATTTACCAGATTCCTATTTACCTCAGGCCTCCGCCTTCACCATTTCCCAGAAACTGGTCTTGTTGAGGGCCTGGGTGCCGATTTTTACGGCCCTTTCTATCCTGATCTCACCTAACTACTTACCTAATGACTGTTTGAAACGCTCCTCTCTGAGACTTCTCTAAGTCCCTCCTCCCGCCAATCCTCCCCTTCTCTGGCTGCTCACTTCTGATCTCTCAGGAGATCGCTTCCTAACTCTGCTCCACTCTGACGCCTCTGGGGTTTTGCATTTGGCCCTCTCCTCTCCTCGTCTGTGCCCCGGACATTGACGTCCACACTCATGGCTTCAGTTTCTGCATCTACTCCAAGGCCCTCCCATCTCTACTTCAGTTCAGATCTCCTGTTCTCCAAGTCTGTGTGTCCAACTGTCCAGCAGGCATCTCAGAGTGTTTGTCCCACACGCACTTCACATCAACCTATCCTAAACTGCACTCAACGTCTCCCTTCCCCTTTGCTGTTCTTGCTATGTCCTCCTCCTATGCCCCATAAATGGCACTACCATCCCCCATCCATCCAGTGGACACTAGTCAAAAACCTAAAAGTCAGTGCAGATGTCCCCTCGTCCCCACCTGCCCAGGCTCCCTCCCACATGTATGTATCCCCAAGCCCCCGATCCTTTCTTCTTTATCCCTACCGATGCCAGGGTGCAGCCTTCATACTTCTTCTCCTGAACCCCGGCAAGAGTTGCTGCACCCCAATCTATTTTCCACAAAACCACCAGAAAAAAGCTCCCTAAAAACTGTCTGGTGATATCACAGCCCTACTAACAATCTTTCAATAATCCTCACTGCCTTCAAGACGGCATCCAAGATCCTCAGGCTAGCCCTTCATAAAAAAGCCAATCCACACCAGTTGCTGAGTCAACTCCAACTGATGTTGTCCCCATGTGTGTCAGAGTAGAACTGTGCTCCATAGGGTTTTCAATGGTTGTGATCTTTCAGAAGTAGATCACCAGGGCTTTCTCCTAGGAGCCTGTGGGTAGACTCAAACCACCAATTTTTTGGTTAGCTGCCAAGTGTGTTAACCATCTGCACTACCTGGGAAATGGCATAATCTTTGCTGCGTCAAAGCACCCCATACTCTGTTAGACTGAATTATTTGCAGAACTGGCTACACTTTGCTGGCACAGGGCCTCAGATCTGTCTGTCTTTGGACACACTTCTTCCTCTGCATGGAAGATATTCTATCTTCTCTCTGCCACAGGCAAAACTGGGGGCCCCTCTTTTGGGTTCCTACAGAACTCTACACTTCAACACAATACCATGAGGGCAGTGAAGATAAGGGGCAGCTTAGCTTCTCCACATCAGGGCTCCTTAAGGGTGAGGAATCTGGGACTGCATACTTAATTTTATAGCTATGTCCCCAACACCGGGCCAAGTGCCCAGCACTTAGTCACTGCCCAGTTAGGGTTTGCTCAGCGAAGGACTGCGTGGTTGTTCTGTGATCTCAAGGAAAGCCTAAGGTCTACATTGTTGTTGTTGTCAGTTCGCCTTGAGTTGGCTCCAACTCATGACAACCCCACAGTGTCACCCAAGGACCCCTTAAAGTCTACATGGTTGTTGTTGTCGGTTGGCCTTGAGTTGGCGCCGACTCATGACAACCCCACCGTGTCACCCAAGGACCCCTTGAAGTCTACATTGTTGTTGTCAGTTGGCCTTGAGTTGGCGCCGACTCATGACAACCCCCCAGTGTCACCCAAGGACCCCCTAAAGTCTACATTGCTATTGTTGTCGGTTAGCCTTGAGTTGGCTCTGACTCATGACAACCCCCCAGTGTCACCCAAGGACCCCTTAAAGTCTATGTTGTTGTTAGGTATGTTGAATTGACTTCAACTCACAGCTACCTCACGTGACAGAGTAGAACTGCCCCATAGGGTTTCCTAGGCTGTAGTTTTTATGGGAGCAGATCTCCAAGTCTTTTCTCTGGTGGAGCCACCAAGTGGGTTCAAACTGCCAACCTTTTGGGTTAGCAGTCAAGTGCTTAACTGTTGAGCCACCAGGACTCCTTAAAGCATACAGTAAAGCCCTATTTTTGCCTCCTAATGTCCTACTAGGAGCACCTGGGTGGCACAAATGGTTACACACTCGACTACTAACTGGAAGGTTGGCAGTTCAAGCCCACCCAGAGGCACCTCAGAAGAAAGGCCTGGCAATCTGCTTCTGAAATGTCACCACCTTGAAAACGCTATGGAGCATTCTACTCTGTACACATGGGGTGGCCATGAGTCAGAACTGACTTGACAGCAACTAACAACGCCCTACTAGTCTGCCTCCTAAATGGACTCCCAACTGGCTCTCACTGAGGTGGCTCACTTCCCATGACCCCAGCGTACAGTGCACCTCCCTGTGTCACTGAGGCCATCTCCCTGGGTGATGACTGAGGCAGAGTCCAGCCTTCAGGGCTTCAAAACACATAATCAACTGTGAAAAGGATAAAAACAATGAAATAGCTTCAAAGAAGCTTGAAAACTAAAGGGTAGACCCAAGTGTAAAGCTGCACGCGTTCCCGGTCAGCTCATGAGAAGATAACAACAGGCTGCCTCCACACTCCCCAGGCCCTGCCACGCTGTTCTAGGTTCACTTGGGAAGAAAACTGAGATGGTGGCTGGGTTGGGCTCCCTCTGGCATTGGGAGAAAATATTTGTGTTTCCATCATTCTTGGCAAAGAACTTCCTCTGAGTGATCTTTCACTTTTATAAGTGCTAAAGTTATCAAAGGAGAAAATAAAACATCTATGAAAGCGTTGCCACTGTGCAGAACGGCAAAAGCCGGCCTCTCAGATACAGCCGTAAAACTGCTTACCAACGGCTCTAGTTAATTATGCACTGTTGCTATGGTGATTCTGTGAGACAATTAAAGGTAATGGGGCCGTTTCTGAAGTTAGCAGAAAAGAACCCAGCACAATCGCTGAAGTGGACTGCTGACTCTTTCAAAAAATGTCTCTCCACGTCAGCTTGTGTCTGGGTGAGCGGAAGTCATTAATACATGGAGGCCTCCCATGGAGGGCTGCCAGCCTACCCCCCAAGAAGATTTTTTTTTTTTTTTCGCTAATCAAAATATCTTCCACCAATGAGTTTTCCAATTAGATTTGTTTCACTGACTGGGAAAAAAAAAACAGCATCACAGACAGGCCAAGCAAGGACCAGGGGATACCAGGCCAGCCTGAAGACGAAGCAGGTTTGCTACAACAGGAGACGGAAGTCTGTGATTAGTAAGAATCCAAGTGGCCAACCGGATTTAGTGACAGTGAGCCTGTGTTCCTGAAGAGACTTACCACTAGGCTCAGCTGTATGACATCACACATCGCATTCAGACTGTATGCATGTGATTTATGTATTTTTACTCTTTTTTATTAAAAAATTTTCTCCAAGAATTATAAAAAGAAGTTGAATGTTGGTGTTGATTATTCAGAGAAATGGACCATTAGAAAACTCAGATAATGCCATCTGTGAGGGCATCCAGATATCTGAGCCAAATCTATTGTGGAACAAAGAGAGAAGAGATAGTGATCAGAGCAGTGCAGGGAAGGGTTGTCTTCTAATGCCATTGAGAAATGGTGTTTGAACTCTCTAAGACCCAGCTGGTAGGATGCTAAACCGTATGGATTAGAAAATCAAAGACCGGAAGAGACTTGCAGGGGGTCACCTACCCCACTCCCCATTCTCTACATAGGAAGGAAAAAAGGGACGGAGAGAGGGTGGGCCCTTTGAAGGCAAGAAGATGCAATGGGAGGCAGCCATCTCTAGTATCTTGAAAAGGACAGTTGTTCTCGAGAGATTTCCAGATCTTAGAACATTGACCAGTGATCCGGATTTCCTAGGTCATTGTCAGGGTTAGCTCATGTCTTGACAACAGGAATATTTGGTTTCCTCTTCCTCTGTGGTGTGTCAGCCGGCAGCTAATCCAGTTTTGGTCAGGTGGGTTCCCTACATGCTACATTTCTGATGGGCTGTGTAGCAGTACTGTTACTATCACTATTCTCTTGACTCTTTCGCTTTGAAAGACCTTCCTCTTAAGGATGCAGCTGTGAAGGAAAATCAGTGCACACCTGATACAGCTACCTGCTCTTAGGATCCCTCCTGATAGGAAAGGAACTGAATGTATAACTGAATGATTAAGGAAATCCATGGTTTTTTTTTTATCCAGTATAGTCCATGGTAACTCTATTACTGCATAAAAGTGTATCATAAGCATGTACTGAAAACTAAAGGTGCCATTTATTCAGAAAATTTTTTTTTAAACTTTATTCCAAAGAAATCCCTTTGGAATTTGGCTGCAACAATGTGCTCAAACACAGCAATGACTGTGAGGATGGCACAGGACTGGGCAGTGTTCTGTTCTGCTGTACACAGGGTCGTGATGGGTCAGAACCGTCTCATCAGCACCTAACAACAACAACACTTCCCAGATGCAGTCCATGTAATAACTCTAAATGAATAAAAGTGACTTCACTTCAGGGTCCACTAAATAGTCTATGATACAGTAACATGAAACCTAAGTTACTGTGAATTCTGTTTTTCAACAATCTGAGTTTTGATGATCAGTTCATGTTTACCCATCTTTAATGTGTGTACGGACTTGAGAAGCCCCAACAATGGACTCAAAATATCCCAAGGGTCGTGCAGACGGCACAGGAGCAGGCAGCGTTCCCTTCTGTTGGATGTGGACTGCCAGGAGCTGGAGCCCACTCGATGGCAGCTAACAACACAGGACTAGACACTCATCATATTCTGATTTTAAAAAGGCTGTTTCAGTAACCCCACACTATTGCTGGGCTTGTGCTCCCCTTCTATTATGAAAGTGAGAGCTTAGCTTAATTCTGAACTGACACAGTTAGCAGTGGGCTTCAGACGCATGATAAGGTGACAGGTAACAGGACACCACTCACGCTGTCCCCTTTAATCTAGTCCTGAACGCTTTCTTTCAATGCTGCTTCTACAAACATGATTGTAAAGGCCTTGATGGTACGGTAAAACCTGCGAAAGCCAGAACCTGTGTAAGGTGGGAACCTGTCAAGAGAAGGAAAACTCAAATATTTTCCAATAAAACGAGCAAAACGAAAGTGTAAGACTGCACTCTGTCAAAGGCGGAAAACTTGCGAGACCCAGAAAAATAAAGCAGTCCCATTGAGTTCTGACTCTCACCGGTTTCATTGTACCTTTGTACGCCCCCAGCGCCTTGCAGAGTGCACATAAAACCAAACCCGTTGCCATCAAGTCGATTCTGATTCATAGCGACCCTAGAGGACAGAGTGGAACTGCCCCACAGGGTTTCCTAAGCTGTAATCTTTATGGAAGCAGACTACCACATCTTTCTCTTCTGAAGCGGCTGGTGGGTTCGAACTGCCGACCTTCTGGTAGCAACCGAGCGCTTTAGCCACTGTGCAACCAGGGCTCCTCAGAGTGCACATATTGATATTCAAGAACTACTTTCTGTATGACAATAAACTTTACACAAACAAGAGTCATCTGACTGCATTAGAAAGAAAAAACAAGGCAGGTGCACCAGGCTCCCTGGTTTTTTTTGCCAAATTTGAGGACCGTGGTCAGCAGGTTTCCATATGGGGAGTTGCACTGGCTTTCAGCGGAACCATCTAAAGGCCTGGGTATGTTTCCAGATGGACTGGGGAAGCACAGGGAGAAGACGAGGCATTTACACGGAGGGTCCTTGGGGGGCATTCGCCAGCACTTACGAAACGAGCCTTCACTCTCTTGGGCAACTCTTCATCTAAGGTGTAGATGTCCTCTCTCTTCATCGCTATCTGGGATCCATCTTCAAATTCAACCTAATGGAAAGTGAGTCATCATGAGACATACTTAAAACAACAAACAAGCACCGGCCCGTTTTTAAGGGCTCCACTCAGCTGCATAAAAAAAGAACAGAAGAACTTAACAGAGCAAACAAGGAAACAAGCCCAGGAAGTAAGAAGAGCCCTTCCGCCATCACACTAAGAACAAAATACCTTTTTCACACCGGCCAAACTTCTGAAAATGAGTGTCTTGGAATACGTGATATAAAAACGTATCCCTTGAAGCAAAGGCAAAGAAAAGTAGCTGCTGTTCAAATGATTACTCAGAATCTGAGACTGTGGCAACTTTATCATTGAGATGGATGGCACCTGTTAGTATCTTTTATTTTTTTAAAGAGGCTCTGACAATGGGAAAGAAAAGATATCTATTTACTCGCATATAATAATCCTCACAGATAGTTTCTCAAGTTCCTATAGAATTTCAGCTTTGAAAGCTCACTTTGGTCAAATTCAATCAAACAAGCCAGGAAAATCCCAGTTTTTCAATTTCATAACATGTAAACCACGTCGAAGTGTGAAAATACATTGGTATCTAAAATGTTGAAAACTCTCTCCTCCCCCAAGCTAATCAAATGGCAGCAAATAATTTTAAAACTAGTTGTTCTGACGTTTTAGGAGATACTGTCAGACCCACAGACAAGTGACACTGGCTGGAAGAAACCTAGAGCTTCGGGTGGCAATTCCCTAGATGCCTGATTCAAAGTGGAAATCTCAATTCTGGGGCTTATGGTTTAATCCAACAGGAACTCTTTTAGGAGAAAACAACAAAGGACATGCAGGCAGAGGAGAATGCCCAGTGTGTTCTAATTCTGAACCATCCGTGACTTCTTTGAGGTGCTTAACTTTTTTGTTTGTCTGAATTTTTCACTTTTGAGAAACAAATATATGCTAGCATATCTGGTTAAAAAGTAAGTTAAACTAGGCAGCAGCTGTATTACATTAGTAAGAAAAATCTGCTGGGGTTTGAAGAATACGTTAAAGATAAAACATACAATTAACATTACTTGCTAACATTTGACTAAGTTCAAGTGATAGGGTGGAATTAGGTCTCAGACACAGGAGAAGGCTCCCTGTCGCCTTCCAGAAGGGTGAGGATGGGAAGGCTTTTCTTCCTGGCCTTGGTTAGCAGACTGGTTTCTTTAATATTTAATTAGGCCAAGGTGTCAGCTCATTATACAATTCGAGAGCATAGCCAGAACTACCTGTGCACACCTTTCTTCTATTTTACATCATTTGAAAATTCCGAAAGAGAAAAAGGCAAGTATAAAACTAAAAGGGTTATGGTCTACTACGACACGGGTGCCTGGCCATCCCAGTTTGCCTGGGACTGAGGGGTTTCCTAAAATGCAGGATTTTTAGGGATACAATGGGGACAGTCCCAGGCAAACTGAGACGGCTGTTCACTCTAAGTTGGGACACAGCTGAGGGTAAATTCTGCCCCTTTTCTTTACCAGCTATGTGCCTTGAATAAATTATTAAAACATCTCTGAGCCCTTTTTTCCTTGTTTATAAAATAAAAGTCAATAACACCTATCTTTCAGGACTACTAAGGTCAAAAGGAGCTCTGGTGATGCAGTGGTTAAGTGCTTTGCTGCTAATCCAAAGGTGGACAGTTCAAACCTACCAGCTGCTTCATGGAAGAAAGATGTGGCAGTCTGCTTATGTAAAGATTACAGCCTCAGAAACCCTATGGGGCAGTTCTACTCTGTCCTATAGGGTCGCTATGAGTCAGAATCGACTTGATGGTAACTGGTTTGGTTTTGGTTAGTATCAGGGTTAAAATCAACAACAAAAACAAAACAACAACATATGTTTAGGATATTTAGCACTGTGCAATAGATACTTAAGTTATATATATTTTCATAAATCTCTCTACATAGTCAATGGTGAGGTTGAATAATTAGACACAAAACATGAAATGATCTCAAAAGGCCATTTGGTTTAATGTGGAATTTTAAACCGCTTGTACTTGAGAGACATTTTTAACATTAGTCTTAACTTTTTCATGGAGTCTATAAATATGCCCAAAGTTTTATGTTGATAGGCCGTCATAAATTCAACAGAAGTTAACACGCTGATTACTAATTAGTCTGAATTTCAACATGGCCTCATTATGTGATACTCTTCACGTAGCAAGTAGCTTTGCTGTAACAAGCTTCACTTTTGTACTTATTGTTTAATTAAGTGTGATTATTTCTTCTGAATAATGTAGTAATCTGTCTTTTCCAGGAGACTCCAATAACACAGGCCTGTCTTGTGATTTTTTTGCCTAATTCCGAACATTCTGTTGCAAAGACCACCTGGAGCTGGCCTATTATAAAGAACCTGAGTCTGCAATTAACAGTGCCTTCAACAGTGGGAGACATGGGTTTTAGACACACACACACCCCCATACACATATACACCCACACACACATATACCCTAACACACACAATGTATATGTACACGTCCTCTCTTCCCCATTCCCTTTGGATTTTTCCAGATCATGAGGAAAGTTCTCCCCTAAGTTTTCCAAACTTCTTTGGAGAATTTTCATTACACTGTGTTCCAGTTCCTGATGCAGTGTCTTCTGAAGTATTCTTCCATTAAGCCCTTGCCCCTTATAAGTCTTTGAACAACTTCTCTGCTGCGACTGGCAGTCTTATCATTCTTAAGCTGTTTTTCAACTTAACAGGCCTGGACCTTCTTGCTTTTTCTCCTTTTACGTCGGTCTTTCTGTTTTCACTCTACTGCTTAGCCTGAGAATGCTGATTTCTGCCTCAGCGTTACTGAAAATACTACAATGCACTGGTTCTAATAAGCGTGTCCCTGTTTCAAGTCTCGCTAAAGGAATATAAATGCACACACGTCATCCATGTTGTTTCCCTTCTTAGAGCTTAACTCATTCTCATTTCTGGTAGGGAAAAAATATTTTTTTAATTGGATACATGCTCTTTAATAACATGCAGAGTTGCCTAGTAGAGAGAATGTTCAAGTGAGAGCTGTACATTTCCTTAAATCACTGCTCCTTCAAGCCGTGGTGGAGGACAACCACAGCTCTTCATTACACCAGTAGGCTACCTCAGAGAAGCCCAATGGGGGTTCCACCCCGCAGGCACACACTGCCAGTTCAGGGCTGTGAGTTGATAAAGAGCCATCCAGCACTACCTGGGCTTCAGGTGAGAAAAGCCAACCACTCAGTCTCTCCCCACATAACGGAAAATCAGGAAAACAGCTGACCACCAGTGGCGTATTTCCTTAGCATAACCACACTCTTTACAATTAAACCAGTCACCAAGTATTAGCGTTTGCCAGTTTCTAACTAGTAATAAAACTCTAGCACTTCAAGCTGGGTCATTAGACTTTGAATCTCTGCCCCATGCAGATCCCATATGTGCAGAGCAGAAACGCTCCTAGGGTTTACACGGCTGTGACCTTGCCTAGGCCCTTCCTTCGAGGTGCCTCTGGGTGGGTTCAAGCTGCCAACCTTTTCGTTGGTAGCCACATGCTTAACCGTTTGCACCACCCAGGGACTCCTATAAAATAACAGATGTCTCAGATTCATGTGGCCTTTTGAGCAGCAACACATTCAATACCTGGTACATGTGGGCAATGTTCGAGCCTAGATATTTTGCCCCGTAGAGTTTGCCATCAGGCCACTTGACTTGGACGACTTCTCCCTCGGCCGGGGGACCCAGCTTCACGCAGTCTCGGCTCTGCAGAAGAAAGAGGGAGAGGCTTTTCAAAGTGAGGCCCTAAGTGACTGCATTGAACTGAGCAAGTGATGAATCCTGGCAATTAAAAGGAGTTATGGCCTCTGTGTTTTACGGATTATGATCCCACACGGGTACTCAGGGGAAGAGCTAAAGGCCAGAGGAGTACTTAGAGTCAGCCTACATCATAAAGTTGCAAAGCAGCCTCCAAAACCCAAGCAGGAAAAAACAGTTGCATTTACATTTGCTATTTGACAAAGAATCATTGCGGGGTAGCTGAAATATGTATAGGAATGGCTTTAGCTGAGGAATAGGCCAGCTAATGATTTGTAACACCTGACATTTTCATAGCATGTTGCAGTTAACAAAATGCTTTAACATACATCTTTTCTGACCCTCACAGCAAGGCTTCGAACCGGTTTGGAAACGTTCAGTAATTGCCGACGTAAATTCAGTAATTGCCGCGTACACATTGCATAGCAACCAAATCTGTTGCCTGTTGGTTTCTGACCCGAGTAGGAAACAAACAGCAATGCCCCACTCAAAGACGGCAGCCAACCATGCCACTTTTAATGTGTGCTGCTCTTCACAGCCCTGCCAGTAATCCAGTCTCCCGCGTGGATCCCAGAAGTTTCAGGAGCCTGATGCTGGAGACATCAGGTCACAATATTTGACCACCCTTGCAGAACTGAAAGGGTGGACTGTTGAAATGTATTCCATGTATGCTCACGGGGTTATCAGCTCACTTTCCATTTCCCTTTTAAAGACGTATGTGGTACTAGGAACGCTGGAAAGCATCTGCACCGTTTCCTGCACCGCCTTTGACTACGTTTAAAAAAAAAAAAAAGTTGCCTTTGAGTCGACTCTGACTTATGGCGAGCCAAGTGCGTCAGAACTGTGCTCCATAGGTTTTCAGTGGCTGATTCCAAGGTGCCTCTGGGTGAACCCAAACC